AAAAAGGTTCAGATACTTCATAGGAACATAGGAATCACATCTATTTCTATAGCATATTTCATGTGCTACATTGCATGGTTGACCTCCTACAAATGGACTTCATAGATTAAAATACAATTCTGTGCTGGAATTGTGCGTGTTCTTTCCAGAAATACACTAGAAGTGTCTGCATTTTTGGCGCTTGGTTCCTAGACTCCTTACAGAATAGAGGCTTCAAGAGTGTTGAAAACTGAGGCAGCAAATCTGAAGTCATGACTGTAAAAGAGGCTGATTCCTCACGTCCAGTGTCCAGCATAGCCAGGATATAAAGCATCACATAATGTAGTACCAGAACTAGGAAATGTAGGAGTGGGACTGGCTACAATTGCACCGTGATTGAAATCACCAGGAGAAATCACCATTGACTTCATCAAGCTAAACTTTCATCCAAAACTAAACCAAAACTACAAACGTGTTTGTCAGAAAGAGGGGGGGGAGGGGAAGCAAACTTCACTGTTGACTCATAGACCCAGCTACAGAAAAAAAAAAACCCTAACTTCCATGGGAGAAAGATTGATTTAAAAGGAAATCAGAAGTATAAATCTGTATTTATGATTTCTGGATACAGAAGTACCTTTATTAGAGGTTTTCTTAGACCGAAAAAAAAAAAAATCCTTCAGATGTTTTACAGTTATCATGAGCCAATGTACTGTGTTATTTCCTATCTGACAGCAAGAATATAAAAGACAAATTATATGGTCCATACAGAGAAGAGCACTCCTGTACCATGGAGGTTCAATTCAAAATAGCAACACTGTTAAAAGTTGCTTTATTTTATAAAAAATGTACTACAGCAAATAAGCAACAACTAAGATCACTTTGCTACGAACTGAACGTGGTGAAAATAAATCTCTTTTTGTGCCTAATCATAATTCCCTCCCCTGCAACTTAGGCTAATGTGTTTTACCAGGCAGCAAAATCATGCCTAAAGAATTGCACTGTATTTTGTGGTCACATGTTCTGATATTCAGGACAGCCACTACCCTGGGTGTTAATTACAGGTTTCTTTGGATTTTCACCATCTTATTATCTATACAGTCATTTGAACCTGTTTGTAGATAGTGGCAAGAGTAGTGGCATCTGAGGCTTAATGAGCTAAGACTAATGGTAATGTTCTTCAAGACAGTTCAGGAGGTACATATGCTTTTTTCCCCATCTGGCCAACCCAGCTTGTTATCGTCATTTTCTTTTACAGAATATATTTCTCTTCTGTAAAGTTGGCCCCACTCTGACCTGGATATTTTCTCCCTAAGACCTCCTAGCCACCAAAAAAGGTCTTTATAACCTAGGTTTGGAAATGTATTAAGCTTGAATCGGCAGGCCCACACGAGGAAACAAGTCACATCTCTGACTTTCCACCTCTCAGGACATAGCTTGCCCTGCTATTGTTGGTCCCCCAGTACTACTGTAGAATTCAACCTCAGAATTGGCCACTTAATTGCACATACCACCTCCATTTTTCTGCCTGTTAGATCACTGCCACTAACTCAATGATTATTTTACGTCTGCTCGCTCTGTGTGCAATCCATTGTGTTTGAATAAGCCATCTACTACAAAATATTGTCTCCACGAATACCACCAGGTAGCCAGATGCTTCCATAAGCCTTTTTGGTAAAGGAGTGATATAGTATCAATATGACATACAGTTTAGGGAAATAGGTTTTGAGTGAACTGATAGAGCACTTATACAGTTGAGCTATGAACAACTGCAGGTTGTAGATGAATGTTTTGAACAGCAGTGTATATTCTGCGTGCTGTTAAGAACCAGCATTTCACTTACAGCCCAGCACAGTACCCAGGATAATAAATATTACAGTGTGTGAATGCAGTCACACTGGTCTGAAGCAGGTGGCATTTTTCAGTGGACAAGCTGTGCTGGGCAGGCTTACTTGCTAAGGCAAGGTGTATTTTTTCTGTTGTCTTGGCAATTATGGTAATACAGGCTTGTCCACTGGGAAAGACAACAGCAGTCTTAAAACTGGTTAAGTCAGGACCATGAAACTTGGTTTAAAAGTGTTTTGCAGATAATTTTCTCCTAAGGCTCAATCTTTAAGACAACACATACAAATCCCTCCCACATCTCTAGGTGATCCACACATTAACAGGAATGCTGCACCTTCTTTTGATGGAGTGACTGGAAAACTTGCTGTTTCCTATCCAACTATCAACATTTCTTTTGTCACAAGACTTCTTTTACTTGATTTGAAAGTGTTATAGCAGTTCTAGCACACAGAGTTAACCCTGAATCTCATTGTTTCTGAGTTTCCCCAACTGAAAGATAAAGGTGACAACTGTGTCATGTTCACAGGGAGCAGAACAGTTT